GAGATGTAGAGTATTATGTATTTATCTTTGAAGGGTCCCATGCCATGTCTTTTTCCAGCCATCCTCAATGTACAGCTTCTTGAAGTGGGATGCTGATTGCAGCTGCATCTACTAGTAATTATACTGACATTAACAGGAATCACCTATATGATGTCTACCTTCTTGTTCCTCTATAGTCTTGTCTGTTGAAGGAAAATTGCAATTTGGTTGTGAATGGTGACTAGTTGCAACAGGCTTTTAATGTTGGGTTGGGAGGAACCCTCCCAGCTCCACATTCGGGTGAATGGGCACCTGAAACATATGACTGACTTGAATATAGAAAGGGCAACACATGCCAATTTGCAGTATTTTTGGCTTTTATGAAAGTAGTAGGTGAACCACTTCAAGGATATTTGTGTGTTTCATGGCCACTATACTGGAACTTTAGAGAATGTTTTCTTCCCAAGATAAAGACAGTGTGGGGGTGAATTTCTAGGCCTTTGTTTTCTTGGGTTTTTTAAAAAATTCCTTAGAATTTCAATAAATAGAATCAAGTGAACTCCTTAACTTTGTGCGGCAGCTTCTGCTTAGAAATTAATCATCTTTATTTTCAAAGAAGTGTGTTTTTATTAAAAGGATTCTGCAACTCTGATTCACTTGCTCATTTCTCTCTGTTTAATTACTTGCTGACAAATGTACCTCGCTTCTCAGCTATGTTGTGAGAACAGACTTGGCGGTGACTGTTTTGATAAGAGGCTATAGTTAATTTGGCAAGCTACAAGGATTAGTCAAATAAAACTGAAATAGCACTGCAGCTCACAATGGAGAATGCCGATAACCTCCAAGCCTCATTGCTTTCTGATCTATGCCTAATTCCTCAAACATTGGATGAATGGAGTATATCCCTGCACAGGCAGAGTCTACATTTCACATTTGACTAATAGAAGCTCAGCCTGTGGATTTCACAGAAATTTGGTTTGGAGATACTTGAGTGTTTAACATACAATCAATACATTACCAACACAGCAATTATCAAAATCCAGTTGATCTGACCATGAATACAAATGGTTTTTGATCCAAGTTATATGTCTGGCTTCTTGCATTGTTTAATATTTCTTTGTGGAAAGTATAAGGCTTTTTCCCAGGGTGGTGAGGTCAATTACCAGGGGACACAGATTATGTGCGAAGCAAGTGTTTTTTCTCACAAACAGTAGTGAGTACTTGGAAAGTGTTGCCAGAGGAGTTGGTGGAAGCAGACACAATAGCAGCATTCAAGAAGCACCTGGACAAATACGTGAAGAGGAAGGGAATAGAGCGATATGTGAAGACAGTTTTAGAACAGAAGGGCAAAATGTGGCAGTGCATGCTTGGAGGGTGAAGGACGTGTTCCTGTGCTGTATTGTTCTTTATTCTTTAGCCATTCCTTTTGATGTGAAATTGTGCCTCAGAAATGGCCCACCATTCTGGCCATCTTAATCAATTAATAGTGGTAATGTTGGAAGAATTTTTCAGTACAGAAAAGGTCCGTTGGCTCACTGAGTCTGTACCATCACAACTACACTAAATTTACACTACTCCTACTTTCCAGAACTTGGCCAATAGCCTGGAATGCTACAACCCTTATTGTTCATCCAAGTACATTTTAAAGGGTAAGATTTCCCACTTGGGACAATGCATTCCAGATTCCCACCACCCTCTGGGTTTTTTTTTAAAAAAAAAAAAAGTTTCCTCAAATCCCCTCAACTTTTGCCTTCTCCTTAGAATTGTGCCCCTGATGATTGATCCTTCAACTAAGGGGAACAGCTACCTTCTATCTACTTTGTCCACGCCCCTCAATCCTGTACACCTCAACCAGGTCCCCTTTCATCCTTGTATACTCTGAAGAAAACAAACCAGCCTTAACAAATCTTTCTTCGTGGCCAAACTGCTGCAGGACAGGCAACATCCTAGTGAATCTCTTCTGCATCCCCTCCAGTACAATCGCATCCCTCCAATAGTGCAGTGACCAGGACTGTGCAAAGGCCTCCAGCTGTGATTAAACAAAGTCTTTTACAGCTCCAATGTAATCTCCCTGTCCTTGATATCTGTGCCACAACTGGTAAAGGTAAGTGTCCTGTTTTGCTGCCTTAACCACCTTATTAATCTGTCCTGCCTCAAAAGCTCTGGACAAGCACCTCAGGACCCCTCAGTTCCTCTGAGCTTCCTAGTGTCTTGCCATTCATTGAGAACTCCCTTGTTTTGTTGCTACTTCTGAACTGCATCACCTCCAGATTTATCTGGGTTAACTTTCATCTGTCAATCTGACCAACCCGTCCAGATCCTCCTGTAACCTAAGACTTTCTTCCAGACTGTAAACCATTTGGCAAATCATTGTGAAATCTGCAAATCATTGCCCCCACACTTTCTACATAGTTTGTATCTGTCGTGAGCAACAAGGGAGCCAGCATTGATCCCTATGATATGCCACTAGACACCAGCCTCCAGTCATACTAATTGCCTTCACCCACCACTAAGCCCGTTCTAGATCCAACTTTCCAAGTTGCCCTAGGTCCCAATTGCTTTTGCCTCCTTATCAGTCTTCCAGGTGGGACCATGTCAAAGGCTTCGTTGAAATCCAAGAAATCAGCAATATTGCCCTTCTGATTGAATAAACAAAAAAGACAGCGCATTTGATGCTGTAGATCTCTCAAGTATGAGTGATTTTATTAGAGAGAAATGTCATTTGAGGAAACTGGTAATCTTTTGAGAAGGAATATGGAAACTGATAAGAATGGGGAAATGCTGTGTACATGAGCAGATTTTAAAAGTTGACCTTGCTGTATTGCCATATTCTAGCTTAGCAATCCATGTAGATACACTAATGTCTTCGGGAATAGTACATTCACATGTCAGAGCCTACTTTCTACCTAATTCTTGTGTGGCTGCAATTTGGAAAGAGAATGCAAAGTATCACGTATCTAATGAAATGCATAACTTTTGGATAGTTTTGAGGATTGCTACAATATGAATATTATAACTTTAGTCTTTGAACAACATTTTAAGCTGCTTAAACTTTAGAAGTATATGTATTATGTGAAGTAATAATGGTGATCCAAAACTTTAACTATTATTGCAGGAAAGTCTTTATGAAGCAACAGAAATCAATTTACTGTTAGTCTGAACAATTTCATCAATCATCCATTAATGCAATCCTACATTTGTGACCCCACAGCTTGTTCCAGGACTCGCTGCAGCCGAATCCCTAAATTCTATGCACAGAGATAGACCAGCTGTGCCAACTTTGGCAGACATTGCGTGGATAGCTGCAGATGAAGGAGAATCTTTCACCAGGATGAGGTATTCCCTAAATTGTGCGTTGACATGTAGTAATATTGGTCCCTCCATCAGAGTTGTACAATGGTACACTTAGTCTTCTCAGTAATATTTTTTTCTGCCTCATCTTAGCTTGTGGAAAGAATATTGTTACCTTGATGGTGGGACAGACCTGATCATCTGATCTTTGATACACGAGTCATTCAAATATGTTTTTAAGTTTGCATAATTGCTTTTTTCTGAATCCATCCATAATTATTTCCCTTGCATTTACATTCTCAAGTTTTTTTTAAACCTCAAACTTCAGTGATCAAAACTACCAGTCCCAAAAAAATTGTAGAATTTGCAGAAAGAAATGACTTATTTAGGTTTCTCTCTTGCATTCCAAGTTTAAATAGATAAGCTACAGGGGCAAGCTCATAAGATGTGTTGTATTGACAATTTAATAATCTGTTGCTCTGCTAAACAGTAATGGAGTTGTACAGCATGAAAACAAGACACTTCAGTCCAACTCGTCCTTGCAGACCTAAATTAATCTAGTCCCATTTGACAGCTTTTGGTGTCCAAATCCCCCTCCATGTTCCTATCCAGATGCCTGTTAAATGTTGTAATTGTACCTGCTGCCACCACTTTCTGTGGCAGCTCATTCCATATGTACACCACCCTCTGTGAAGAAGCTGCCCCACAGTCCCCTCTTAAATCTTTCCCTCTCACCTTAAACTCATCCTCCTACCCTGGGAAAAAAACCTTGGATATTTACCCTATCTATGCCCCTCATGATTTTATGGACCTGTATAAGGTCACCCCTCAGCATTTGATGCTGTGGAGAAAATAGCCCAGCCTATTCTGCCTCTCCCTATAGCTCAAAGCCTCCAACCCTGGCAACATTCCTTGTAAATCTGTTCACAACATATTTCCTATTAGCAGGGAGACCAGAATTGCATGCAGTATTCCAAAAGTGGCCTAACCAATGTCCTGTACAGTCGCAGCATGACCTCTCAACTCCTATACTCGGTGCACTGATCAAGAAATGCAAGTGAACAAAGAGCCTGTGACTCTACTTTCAAGGAACCGTGAACCTGCACTCCAAGGTCTCTTTGTTCGGCAGCAGTCCCCAGGACCTTGCCCTTAAGTGTAGAAATCCTACCCTGATTTGCTTTACGAAAATTCAACACCACCTATTTATCTAAATTACATTCCATCTCCCATTCCTTGGCCCATCTGTTCAAGATCCTGTTGTACCCTGAGGTAGCCTTCTTCACTGTCCACTACGCCACCAATTTTGGTGTCATCTGCAAACGTACTAACCAATCTTCCTTTATTCACATCCAAATCACTTGTATAAATGACAAAAGGCAGTGGATGCAGTGCTGATCCTTGCAGAACACCGCTGGTCACGGGCCTCCAGTCTGAAAAGCAACTTTCCACCTCTACTTTCAAGCCAACTTTGTATACAAATGGCTAGCTCTCCCTCTATTCCACGTGATCTAACTTTGCTAATCAGTCAGCCATGCAGAACCTTGTCGAATGGCTTGCTGAAGTCCATATAGACAATGTCCACTGCTGTGTCGCCTTCAATCTTCTGTCACTTTGTCAAAAAACCCAATCAAGTTAGTGAGACATGAATTCTCATGCACAAAGCCATGTTGTCTATCCCTAATCAGCCTTTGCCTTTCCAAATACATGTAAATACACTCCTTCCAAATCTCCGCCAACAACATGCCCATCAAGCTCACTAGTCTATGGTTCCCTGGCTTTTCCTTACCACATTAGCCAACCACCAATCTTCTAGTAATTTGTCCATGGCTATCAGTGATACAAGTATCTCAGCAAGGAGCCTAGCAGTCACTTCCCTAGCTTCCCACAGAGTTTTAGGGTACACCTGATCTGGCTCCAGGGATTTATCCACCTTGTGCATTTTAAGATATTCAGCACCAGCATCTCTCTGTAATATGGACACTTTTTAAGATATTACTATTTATTTGTAAGTTCTCCAGCTTCCACATCCTCCACAGCAAATACTGACTCAAAATACTTGCTTAGTATCTTGCCCATCTCCTTCAGTTCTACATGTAGGCAGCCTTGCTGATCTTTAAGAGGCTGTTTTCTCTCCCTGGTTACTCTTTTGCTCTTAATTTGTAGTATCTCTTCAGATTCTCCTTGTACCCTGTTTGCAAAAACTATCTAATGTCCTGGCTTTTCCTGATTTTTTTTC